CACAGGAGAGAAGGAACGAAAACTCAGAATGTCATGTGGGATGTTTCTTTTTTGGTTCCAGTCACCACCGGCTCGTTTTTGCCCGGGAAGTATTGTCATGGTGTACCAGCCATCTTGCAGTCATCAATTCATTGATTTGCAGTGTCACACACGCCAAAGATGTTGCACTGCGCAGATTTGTTCTTTGCTCTGGAAAAGCGTCGCAGTGATTGTGAGAAAAACAATGGGCGGTTATCAAACACAGGATGAGAGGTTGCATCATTGCTCCTAGTAGCGATGCCAGGAGCCCCTAGTAGCGTTCTTGTTACTTGTTTTGATGTGTCAAGCGTGATTTTTGGTGCAAGTCCTTCGGCACATTGCCTCAACCCGCTGCGGTGTTCGGTTGGAAATGGCTGGAAGGGGTTGTTCAGAGCAATTGCACATGTTTGGGTCAGGTCGTTACACATGCTTGTACGCCCTAAGAGTTCCTCAGGACCAAGAGTCAAAGCCTCTGACAGTAAGTAGTTGAGATTGATGAGCCCACGGCCCACAATCTAGCGAGCTAGCTGAAGGCACGTGGCCAGAATTGAGCATGGTTTCCCAAAAGTTGATTCGAACGTCAAGAAATAAATAGGTCTAAATAATACACAGGAGAGAAGGAACGAAAACTCAGAATGTCATGTGGGATGTTTCGTTTTTGGTTCCAGTCACCACCGGCTCGTTTTTGCCCGGGAAGTATTGTCATGGTGTACCAGCCATCTTGCAGTCATCAATTCATTGATTCGCGGTGTCACACATGCCAAAGATGTTGCACCGTGCAGATTTGTTCTTTGCTCTGGAAAAGTGTCGCAGTGATTGTGAGAAAAACAATGGGCGGTTATCAAACACAGGATGAGAGGTTGCATCATTCCGGGATTTGGCGCCGTCAAAACCTAGACACTGTAAACAAAAGATGTGCAGGTTTGGCTCGCGAAGCCGGGGCCAAAAAATAGGCCACCAACACTCGCCAATGCATTAACCCATGCACAAAAACACAAGCCGTGGCAAAAGAGGCCGCTCACACTGCCATGCTCACCCTGTTTAAACTGAGTTACAAGTCGCGACGTACCAAAAGAAGTTTATTGAAACAATCACAAAATATACGGTCCCCGCCCGCAACAGGTTTCTAGAAACTTTTGAAATATAGTTTACATGTTTGGTGAATTTATTAGGTTGATTCAATGTATATAATTGTTTGTGTGTTTGAATATTTAGAGGCTTACGCCTGACAGCCAGGCACCGGCCGGTATGAGAGCAGGCAGGGTTCAGTGATTGTGTCTATTTCACGGTCCCATGCTTTAAGTGAACCGTGAGAAGAAGCTGTCATGCATAACGGCCAGAGCGCAAGACATGGCAGCAAAGGGCTTGTGCATGGGAAGGTGTGCGATGGCTAGGACGGCTTTTTTGAGTTGGCGGTGGAGGCAAAGAGGAAGTGTGTCGAAGAGAGATATTTTCTGGGAAGTAGAAGAGAAAGAGAAATAGCAAGAGCAAGAGAAAGTGGAAAAGGCAGAGGAAGAGGAAGAGAACAGGAAGAGGGACATGAAGAAGAAAAAGAGAAGGAGAAAAAGCAAGAGAAAGAGCAAAACAGCAAGAGAAAGGGGCAGAGGAACAGGAAGAGGAAGTGGGAAGAAGAAAGAAAAAGAGGAAGAGGCAGAGAAATAGAAAGAACAAGAGAAAGAGAACAAGAAAGAGGAAGCGGAGAAGAGGATGCAAACACACAAGCGGAACAGGAAGAAGAAAATGAGGAAGAGAAAAGAAAGAGTAAAAGAAAAAGAAGGTGCAAAAAAGAAAGGAAGACAGACAGAGGAAAGAACAAGAGAAAGAGAATAAGCAAGAGGAAGAGGCATAGGAAGAGAAAGGAGAAGAGCAAATAGGAATATAAAATGCTTAGAATGCAAGGCAATTCGGGCGGCATAATTTGCACCGGGGACTTTGGAAATTATTTGAAATCCATCAACATCTAAATATATGATTTAAAAAGAAAAAGGAACACTAAATATTATTATTAAAGAACAAGCCTTCTATGGATCGACTATTATGGCTTCGATTTTTTTGATCTACTAATCGATATCGAGTATTTTTAGTAAAGATTCGAATACGAGGTTAGTGTTCGAATTATTTGAAGATTATTCTTTTTATATATGTTATTTAATATTGATTTATATAAGAATAAAAAATTGTATTTTTAAATAATACGTAAATATATTTATTTATGGGTCGGTATTATGGATTTATTTTATATATTGATTTTATAATTTATAATTTATATAATATATAATTGTATTTGGGGTATATTTTATATGTTATGGAAATTGTAATTTTAAATACGAGGAATATTTTAATAATTATATATAAATAATAATAATAATTGAATTTTAAAATCGAAAATATATTTTTGATAGTTGATTTTATATGAATTTTAATGAATTTAAAAAATAATTAATATTCTTGTTTGGTATATATTATATAGATATATATCGAAAATAATAAATATATTTTATAGAAGGAAATTTTTGAAGTTATTAAAATTAATGTTGTCGAATTTATTAATTGGTTTTATTAATAATTATTATAAATGATTGAATTTATAATGTTTTTTTGGAATGGCAAAAATATTTATGTTTTTAATTATATTTTTTATTTTTAGATATTTTTGGTTTTATTTTTGTTTCGCCGGAAAAATATATGCTTTAGAATTTAATATATGAATGATTCGATTAATAATTATTTATATATATTCGTTTAATTATATTTATAGTTACATTTTTAGGTTGATAGATATTCCGCATTTGGCTTCGAAATATCGTGGTATGGATATAAAGTCGCTTTCATAGTTATTACGTGGCAATAAAATCTAAATGATCGCGTATAAATTAATTATTTCGATTCGTTCACTTTATATTTATGTTTTAATATATTTTGGAGATGTCGATCTTAAATTTGGGCGATTTTTTTTTATTTTTGGATGAAAGCATCGGATGTAAGAATTAACCCTTTGGTTTTGTAGGGGGGTTAGAAGCGGCCAAAATTTAGTATATTTGAAAGAATTGATTGCCAAATTATGTGAGGTTTGAGCTAAAACGGATCTCGATCTTGCATTATTTTCTTTTATGCATAAAATAATTTGGAAATTATTTTTTCGTTTAATGAATTTATTTTCGTTATTATCGACGGTATTATTAGATTTAAAGATAAAGTATTATATTCTTAAAGATATTTTATGAAGGTTTCGATAGGTATGATAATATAGGCAATTTTAAATTATTCGATCGATATTACGACTACCCGTAATTATTTCATAGGTCCCTCCAAATTATTTTTTGCAGATTATGTCTTGGAATGTTTCATATTTATTCTGTTATAAGGAATTTATATTTGGTGCATGGCCAACCAATATAATTGTTTCGTTATTTAGGAAAAGGGGGTCGGCATTCAATGGAGAATAATCTAATATGAATTTAAAATTCATATATAATTTAGATAAACAAATGTCAATATTTTTCATAATTCGAACCAGATTCCTTTCGAATCCCCAGCAATCCATATCCCTGGTCATTGGATCCAGGTCCGCCTTCACCTGCATGGCAGGGGATTTTAATTCCCCTTTGTAGTAACAACCACCTTTTGTCCAGATTTTTGATCCGAAATACGAGAGGGCGAACCAAATTAACAAAGACATCTTTCAATGGATGCTTCAAGATGTGCAACTTATTACCTTACGATGGATGTTGGCAGCCCATTTTTATGCATGGAGATCATATCACTCGGATTGATTTCATTTTTGCTCGTCGTAATCAAAGACGAGCTACAATGAATTCACACATCATCAATGATTTCGATCGGAATTTTGGCATCACAGGACCCCATCATAGGCCATTAAGCTTATGCATTGCCAAATGGCATCCTGTTAAGCTCCCTAAGATTGCCCCTGATTCCATCAATCGATTTCAACTTGGATATGCCTGCGAAACCAATATTCCCCAGTGGCAATTGTTCCGACAAGCTGCTTGTGACCTTATTCATAGCCATCACAAGAATATCTAGTGCCCACCCCGTACCATACAATAGTTTCCAGCTTGAAATTGAATTGCGTAAGTTGTACCTTGAATGGTCACGAAAGGTCCCTAAGGGGATATCTAGAGTTTGTCTTGCGAAGTAAGTGTCGGCGCGTACGGGTTTAATAATTGATCGTTCAATTCAACCCCCCCCCCCCTTCGAATTGATTTCTCAATACAAAACCCCCCCCCCCCCCCGGGGGAATTGATTTTTCAATACCGACCCCCCCCCTCTAAATTCAATTCTCTCCTAGAGAACGTCTTCGTGAGCCTCTCATGATTTCAGGAGGATTGAAATCCTTTTGAACATTCAGAAAGAATACATATGAAATTCTAATTACGAAAGGTATTTCCCGAGGGGATATATATCTAGAGTTTATTTTGTGGAGCATGTCAATTCTCTCCTAGGGAATATCTTCGTGAGCCTCTTGTGGTTTCAGGATAGTTCAAATCCTATGATGTTTCGATTCAATGCTCACCGATGATCTAAGCATGGGACAAGTTTGTTTTCCAAAAAATGTTTAAATATTTCGAGAGCATATGTTTGAACATTTAGAGTACATATGAAATTAGATTTGCGAAAGGT